CTTGTTAATCTAATGAATAACTGATTTGTTAAATCAAATGAAAAATTGTGTTTTTGATTGGTCCAAACGCTACACAACTATCGGTGCCAATTAATTGGCAAAACCGATCAATCGGCCGACCTCTAAGGCTGGAGTAATGGCTGCTGAAAATTCAGCTTTGTCATCGCACAAATAAATTATGTTTGAAAATATATTAAAATAGAAATATACTTCCTACAAAAACATAAAAAAAAACCTTTACCAACCCCAAACTTTTGTACTAAAAAACAAACAAAAAAGTGCAAAACTGGTATGTCATTCTAAATCCAAATGATGCAAAAATAGAAAGTAACTCCTAATATTAAATAATCCTCATTTTCATCTCTCCAGGTGAGCGTTTCTTTCCACCCCCATCTGGCCTGAGTTACTCAACGTGGTTTTGCGTTGAGCGTTTCAGCACACCACCCCAAAGCCCCCCTGTGCGTCTGCTCACGGTGGTGCGAAGGGCCACCTCGTCTGAGCAGCACTACGTGTGCCTGGCCATCGTGCTCTCTGCTAAAGACCGGTCTCTCATTGTGTCCACTAAGGAAGAGCTGCTTCAGACCTATGGCAAGTGTTTCTACAACTTCCTGTTCTACATCTTTGTTTGCGGTTTATGTCAGCACAGCAGTTTTAATGATGTGGAATGTTTGTAAATCAGATGATCGTTTCAACCTTTTTGTTCCTCTGTATGCAGATTAAGTGAGCTTGAATTAAAAACAAGTCTATTACAGACCTTCAAAATGCTGTTGTTTGTGAACACACAAAAAAAAAAAAATTGTAATTATTTTAAATAATTTCAAATTTAATTTAGCCTGTAAAGTCACCACGCTCATGTTTCGTGGGCAAACCGACGATAGACAACTAAGCCATTTTAATGTAGGATTTAAGAGGCCGTTCCTTCTGAAATGCTGAGGAAAAGTTCCTTTGTCTGTGGTTAGTGACGTGACATCATTTCCTCTTTCCCTTAGCAGTGGATGACTTCAGTGAGGAGTCCTCCTTCTATGAGATTCTTCCCTGCTGTGCTCGCTTCCGCTGCGCTGACCTCATCACTGAGGGGCAGTGGCACCACCTGGTGTTAGTTATGAGCAAGGGAATGCTGAAGAACAGCATGGCGACTCTCTACATCGATGGCCAGATGGTCAGCACGGTCAAGGTGTGGCCCAGCTCCTGATGTAGACACCTTTATTTTGTTTCGACTAAAGTAATGGGAAAAACTGTGCCGTTAATATTTTTTTTCTGCACAAAGGTCAGATTTTCCTGCCCCATTTGAAGGAATTTAATTTTATATTTCAAACTTTAGCATAGCTCAAAACTGGCATCAGCTCTGAAATCTGATGTGATGTGGTCTTCCGCTTACTTCATTAGCAGCTAAAACACCAGTTCCCAAGGCTACTGTTAAACAATATATATTTGAAATATAAGTCCTTATTGGCCTGCAAACCAATAAAGTCACACTCGCCTCTTTTGTTTCTCATTGTGGTTGTCTTTGTAGCTGCACTATGTTCACAATGCTCCCGGCGGCTCTGCATCCGCAAACCCACCTGTGGTGAGCACGGTGTACAGCTACATCGGTACGCCACCGGCCCAGCGCCAGCTCTCCGCTCTGGTCTGGCGACTGGGGCCCACTCACTTTCTGGAGGAGGTTCTGCCTGCTGCCAGTGTGGCTGCCATCTATGAACTGGGACCCAATTATGTAGGCAGTTTCCAAGCTGTTTACCTGCCATGTGAGTACCTGATGTGTCACACTGAGGTGAATAACACCTAAAAGAAGTTGATGTTTATTGTAAATTAATGGCTATTTTACTGATTTAATTTTTTTTTTTTCTTTTCTTGCGTGTGTTATATAGAAAAATGCAGGCATTTGCTCCTGTAGTTGTGGCTTTTAAAATTGGGTTTTCTCTCATATCACCAGGCAAAGACTCAAAGACTGAGGCTGTGCCACCATGTCCTGTTGCATTGGTCCCTGAAGAGAAGGTCTCCTTTAGTCTCTTTGCTCACTCTGCATCTACTCTCACTGTGGCCAAGATACGAAAGGTCTACAACAAACTGGACAGCAAAACCATTGCCAAACAGGTAAGCAGTCTCACCCTTTTCCTCTTGCTAAAATAAAGTTGTCATATTTAATAAACTGAACAACCACCAAATACATTAATCAGGACCATAAGCAGACCCTACACTACCATTCAAAAGTTTGGGGTTAGTAAAAATGTTTTTATGTTTTTGAAAGAAGTCTGTTATGCTCACCAATACTGCATTTATTTGATCAAAAATACAGTAAAACCAGAAATGCTGTCAAATATTAGTTTAAAATAACTGTTTTCTATTTTGAAATATTTTAAAGGTTATTTATTCCATTTCCTGTGATGTCAAAGCTGAATTTTCAGCAGCCATTACTCCAGTCTTCAGTGTCACATGATCCTTCAGAAATCATTCTAATGCTGATTTGGTCCTCAAAAAAACATTTCATATTATTATTAATGTTGAAAATGGTTGTGTTGCTTAATATGTTTTTGGAAACGGATTCTCTGATGAATAGAAAGTTCAAAGATTGAAGTCTTTTGTAACATTACAAATGCATTTGCTGTCACTTTTGATCAATTTAATGTGACCTTGCTGAATCAAATATTAATTTCTTAACATTAATATCTCAAAAATATGTAGAATTCTTTAGGGTAGAAAGGGTATAATAAAAGGGTGGGCAAGGGGTATAGTTTTGTGAATGATGTGTATTCAAATTCTGTATGAATGAGGACATTCAACTAATGTGAAAATCAGCAGAGCTTTTTGTGGAAATTTGCAGACTTTTCACATATCTTCAGGAATTTTTGTGGATTATCTGCAGAATTCTAGTGTTGGACACTTTTTGATAGCTGAAAGTAATAAATATTTCGCCAAAAAATTACATATAAATAAACATACAAGGGGTGCAGAATGTGTAGAAGAATTATAATTTTGGGAAAGTTGCTCAGAGTGATGTTTTCATTCCCTTTCAGCTGGGGGTTTCCTCTCATGAAAGTGCCATACCAGTCAAGCTCGTCCATAATGCAGTGGGCCATCTCAACGGGTCGGCCAGGACCATTGGAGCTGCAGTCATCGGTTACCTGGGTGAATGCGTGTGCTGTTTTCATTAGGACGATGGAGATCTGTGAAGTTTTTTTGCAGAATAAAAAAAATGAAGTGGCACAGTACAGCTTTTCCAATAAACCAGCCCTTTCTCTCAGTGTTCATGTATTTATAGCTGCAGTCTTGTTCCGTGTAGGTGTGCGCGCCTTCGTGACCAAACCAGTGGCCACCAACCTCCAGTACATCGGAGGAGCAGCTGCCATTCTGGGCCTGGTTGCCATGGCGTCAGACGTGGAGGGTCTCTATGCTGCAGTAAAAGCGTTAGTGTGTGTTGTGAAGAGCAACCCGCTAGCTAGCAAGGAGATGGAACGTATCAAAGGATACCAGGTGGGCTGCAATAACAATTACTCAGTGAACTTTGAACCGAGGATGTCCTCTGTTCTCTACTGCTGTAGCTGTAGGATGTTATGAGCCAATGAGGTGGCAAATTAAATGATAACAGTGAGACTGGGCTGTTGTGTCCGGTGACAGCCAGCTGATGTGATAAGTGGGGGTTCGTAAGGGTGGACCATGCTGGGATGTGCTGGTTTGAACATAACAGATGGTGCATTGTTTAATTTCTCTGCTGCTTTAATGGGGTCTGTAGAGAGAATGCGATGTTTCATGGAGCTAATGTCACTGTGTAAGGAAAATGGATGGCTGAGTGTTGGGTTTCAGCCTGTTTTAAATTGAACTGATCGCTGAAATGAGTAGACTAACGAAAATATAGCAGATCATTCTTTCACATAGACCTTCTGTTGTTGCTTTTTCCCCGTCAGCTTTAGATCATTTGCCTGAAAGATCTTCTTTAACTCAATGTCTTCTGTTATAGCTGTTGGCCATGCTGCTGAAGAAGAAGCGCCCTCTGTTGAACAGCCATATTCTTCACTTGACCTTCTCTCTTGTCGGAACTGTCGATAGTGGCCATGAGACCTCAATCATCCCGAACTCCACAGCTTTTCAGGACCTGCTGTGTGATTTTGAGGTGCGAAGCTCACATATAAATACCTCAGACTGACATCATCAGTGACCTTGCTGAAAATTTAACTACAGCCACTATAATAGTTTCTGGCATGAGAACAGATATAAACACTTGTTTGATTTTCGTGATATAATGATTAAAATGTTTAATTATACTTTTTTTATTTTTTATTTGCTGGACTTTCAGGTTTGGCTTCATGCTCCCTATGAGCTGCACCTCTCTCTCTTCGAGCACTTCATTGAACTTCTGACTGAATCCAGGTAATCCATCCATACTCTAACACTCTTTATTGAATCTTTTTTATTCAGGGCAGTCGATTTAAGCCTTCCTGCAATGTAATGGGACTTTCAGTCTTATAGAAGTTTTATAGTGTACAGTAAGCATTAGCATTATGATGGTTACCCAGCAGCACTTATAGAACAACATATGCATCACATGGTATGTGAATTACTTCACATGGATATTTGAGGTCTACTTCCATATGAAGTACATCATACTGAAGAGAAGAGAGGAGAGATCTTGTATGTCTTAAGGCCCGTTCACATAAAGACAATGGTAACTATAACGAAAACTATATCAACATCCACAAACAGACAATAATGTCCTGTTTAATATAAGCACACACAGTGCATGTCATCTGCTGCTTCAAATGTTCAAGCTCTTTAAAGTCAGGTGGATTCTGATTGGTTGTCAACGTTCTTATCATTCAACATCTGAAAAAATCATCTGGAGTGATTCCTACGATATTGTTCCTCTGTGTCATTAGCATTATAGTTGTAATATGCACTCCGATATTCTCTTTAAGTTATTAACTTTATTGTTATCGTCCTTGGTTTGAGTGGGTCTTTAGAGTGAACAATGTTCCTAAACTCCAGAGGTGCAGAGTCAGACCTGCAGATATTAAACTACTGTTACTAACACAGTGTGTAATTGTTTCTGTTTTCAGTGAAGCTGCTAAGAATGCCAAACTGTTGCGGGAGTTTCAGTTGATCCCCAAACTTCTGCTGACTCTGAGGGATCAGTCTCTGTCTCAGCCCACCATCGCTGCCATCGGCAACGTCCTCAGTCTCCTGCTGCAGGGCTTCCCCAACTCATATGACCTACTAAGGTAAACATAGAGATGTATGCCCATTTTAAATGTATGCTCAGACAACAAATTTAAATAGATTGAAATCAGAAGTGACAGATTCTTTCAAATTTGTCTTATTTTGCTGCAGAATATAGTTTATTTAGAAGCAGAGGCGACTAATTATTATAACAATTTTTTTTGAATAATTAGTAAGGGACACTATGTACAATTTACACATAAAAAATAACATTTTTAATTCTCAAAATAATATCACTAAATAATCATTTATAATTCTGAATCTTTTTTTTTTCCATTTGTTTATGGATTTGATTTTTTTTTTTCTTCAAGGTTTGGGCAGTTCATCTCTTCAACATTGCCAACATTTGCAGTCTGTGAGAAGTTTGTCATTATGGAGAACACCAATGAGGAGAAGATCGACCGGGGTGAGTCATGTTTTTAAGCTTCCAAGTATAAATGCCCACGCATTTTAGCTCCATATTGTTGTAACACGACAACACTTCAAATCGCCCTATTAACGAATCAGATCCATGGGAATCAAAGCATTGCCAGCTTTAAGCAACCCCAAAAGAAATCCACACCTGCAGAATTCTGTAGAAAGTTACACAGAATT